GAGAGAGAGAGAGAGAGAGAGAGAGAGAGAGGGAGGGGAAAAAAAGTGCTGCTCTTGATGCAATCTTTTCCTCCTCCTCCTCCTCCTCCTCCTACTTGCCAGCCCTCTGCCTCTCTCTGCCAGCCTCTGCACCGCAAGGAGAGCGGGGAAGGTATAAAAGCCTCCCCTCCGGCTCCGTTACCATTGGTCGGCCGTACTCAGCCTTTGACCATTGGGCTGAGAGGCACGGGGTCATCCCGCAGCCCTTCCCACCGCACCTCACCGCATCCCACCCCCCCCGGCCCCCCCCCCCCCCCCGTCCCACCCCCTGCTCTCCGGTTGGGCAATGCGTGCTGAAGGGGGCACCCACGCGAAGGTTTGGGATGAAGGATTTAAAAGCGATGAAGCCAAACCTCTCCCCCCCCCCAACCCCCCCATCCACCCCAACACCGTCAGTCTGCCTCACTGCCCCTCATCCACGCTGTTCCCAAATTTATGCCCCATGTAGGGATTAAAAATATAGTTCCTGGGGGAGGGGGTTCAAAAAGGAGGTTCCTGAAGGGGAATCCTGGGGAAAGTATTTCCACCTCTGCTGCTTTACTTCATTTAGTTTCATTTTGAGGGGGCTGTTGGCTCACTTCTCTCCAGTCTGCTCAACCTGAAGGGGTGGGACAGCCTCCATCCCTGGTGGGAACTGAGCGTCTGCACGTTTTAGTGTGGGGCAAACTGAGCAAATGTGTACCTGGGGCTCTATAGTCTTTTCTGAGATGAAGAGGGGAAAGAAAAAAAAAACCAAACAACTCTGCTGCAAAGTTTCATGGGCCCCATAGCATCTCTTTTGCTGTTTTTTGTTATTATCATTTGGGTGGGAAAGAGGGAAGAAGCAATAGTTTTGTTCATATGTTGCATAACTCCCCACCTCCCCCTGTTACAGGGAGGTGGTGTAAAATAAAACAGGATCTGATACGGTTTAGGAGACATCCAGACTTTGGTCACTCCCCTGTATCCAGTGTTGGAAGTGGGCCAGGGATGTCTTTAGGCTGGTAATTTCTCCATCCAATCATTTAATGATTAAAGGCAGAAACTGCTGAAGCTGTGCAAGAAGGAAACTGTTCCCTCCGTCCAGCCCCAGCTCAAAGTCGGCCCAGCAGAACCCCAATCTTATGGCCACCAAGACTATGACGGATGTTCTTTTGGATCCCTGTTATCTACAAGCAAAGTAAATCCAACACAATAAGATTCCCTAAATCCAATTACAGCAGTCTGCTTCGTTGCTCTTTTCTGGGAGGACAGGAGTTGCAAGGGCTGCAGGTCTTTGGAGTCATGAGCATCAAATGCAGCTCTAAAGAGGAGTTTCCTCAAGTAGAGGATGTAAGCCAGCTCCCATGGCTCTGTGAAAGATAGGAGTGAGGACAGAAGAGGTGAGCAGAGCAGGCTTGTGGGAGCTGAGCAGTTGGATTGTATGGCTGAGGTCCCTCTAAAGCCACAGTGAATCAAACAATCATAGAATTTTTAGAAATAGAAGTTTGGAAAAGACCTCTGAGATCACCAACCCCAACCCACCCCACCATGCCCACTGCCCACATCCCTCAGTGCCACATCTCCATGGTTCTGGAACACCTGCAGGGATGGTGACCCCACCACCTCCCCGGGCAGCTTGTGCCACTGCATCACCACTTCTTTGGTGAAAGGATGTTTCCTAACATCCAACCTGAACCTCCCCTGGCACGCCTTAAGGTCTAAACCACGGCTGGAGCTCCCAGTCAGGCACCAGAGGAGAACATGTGAGAATTTCCCAATCTGCATCATCCCAGCACTTCTCTTCCCAAGCAAACTGCCCACTTCTTTCCCCAGGTGAAAAAGTTCTCTCTTTCTCATCCTGACTCATTGGGTGCTGAGGATCAGGCCCTCTGCTTTTAGGTCCTACCGCCATTGGAAATTCTGATTTATGCGAAGCCAAACAAGAAACAGCTGAGTTTGCTCATTTTTTGGGGCTGTGTCCCAGGAAGATGCTTTTATCATCTCTATTCATCTCCAGACATTGTGCATTCTCTCAGCCAAGGCTACAAGGCAACTCTTTCCCTCTCTGCAGACCTCTGAGAGAGAGATGAGCTCTTCTGCATGTCCAGCTGCCTGCTGTTGTTTGTCCGGTCTCTTCCCACTGGAGGGCACAGGACTCCATTCTCCTGCAGATCTGTTCCAGGCATCTTTTTTATGTCAAGGCAAAGGTAATTTGGACATCTAAGTTTTGTTTTGTTTTTCTTTCAGATTGCACCCATGAATGTGTGCATAATGAACCCAGAAGGAATGCAGCACTAAAAGAATCCTTTGTAATGTTGCTATTTTAAGGAGACCCTTGGGTATGGCACGTGTTGAACTGAGTTTCTCTAACATCTTACAACAAACCAAAATGTTTAGATCCTCCCACTGATGTAAAACATCATAAAAAAATACATAATCAATCTAAACTGGCTATGGTTTTGACCAGAAATTATTGCTCTTGTGAATTGGCTCTGTATTGTAGCTAACTTTTACATGGCCTAATAATAAACATCTCCTCCTCCCAGCTGGATGAATGTTTCCCTTCTGGTGGAGATGAGATCCCAGCCTGGATAAAACACCTCTTGTCCTTTCTCTTCTGGGTCACTCAGGTTCAGTGAAACATCACGACTTACATCAGCCAAAGCCTTTGATCAGGGGAGGGAAAGGTCTGACATGGATGGGGTTGACAGCCACGCTGCAAAAATCCCTCATTGTGCAAGAAGCCAGTCCAATGACCGAGTGTCACCAAGGGTGAGACAGCCTTTTCTGCTCTGTTTTCACTTGGCTATTGCTGGTGTTTTGTTTGCAAAGTCAAGGCCAAAATATACAAGCAGCAGCTTTGGACACGTTGCGTTTGTGCATTTAGCCAGATAGCCATGATGAATTTCTGGCCATTTTTGTTGCATGTGTTGTAAAGAGCAGAATTTTGCTGTCAACATTCTATTTTTACATGGTCAGAGAGGAGAAGGAGTAGAATAGAGGTGTAATTGACGCTGTTTGTACAAAGCTGAAGTCGTAACTCTTGGCTGAGATGACTGGAAGCGGTGTGTGATGGCTTCTTTGTTGGCTCTTTAAGAAAACATCTGCTCTGGGTCTCGTGGACAAAACCCAGGGTGAAAAATTCTCACACTGCAAACTGAGAAGCCAGATGAAAAGCCCAGAGAAGCTGTGGATGCTCCATCTCTGGAGGTGCTCAAGGCCAGGTTGGATGGGGCTCTGGGTTGCCTGATCTGGTGGGTGGTAAACCTGCTCATAGCCCAGGGTTAGGACTGGATGACCTTTGAGGATGTTTTCAGCCTAAGCTGTTCTATGATTCAATGGCTTTCTCCATTAGCATCCAGCACTCAAGGAACAGGGCTGCTTTGGAAATGAATGTCAGAATAAGGAAAATAGGCTTTTTGTACTCACAAAAAAACAAATGCTCAAGAAGAGTGAGGGTGAGAGTCAAAGCTATTAAAACACTTCCTGGGACAGTATTTTGGTTTTCAGCAGCTTTCTCTTCTGTTTTGTTTCAATTTCTTCTAAACCCCATCCTCCGAGTGGTATGAAATAAAAAATAGTAATAAATAGATTTTTCTGTACAGGAAAAATTCAAAAATAAATAAATGAATAAAATTTTAATTACATTTCTCTGCAAAGGCTCTTTACTTCTTTAAGTACACAGAAATACTTATGATATGTGGTCATAGATGGGGTCATAGATGGGGTCAATTCCTCTAATGCCCTGCAGGATGGTTTACAATGTGATTCAGTAAATGGGGCAAAGTCAACACGGTGGGGCTGGGTGCCCTACATGAGAAGATGCAGAGAATGTGTCAGAAAGAAGATCACAGAGCTGTAAATGGTTTGGGAAAAGAGAGAGATGAGGCATGTGGGGTTGAGGTCTTGGGTTAAGGTAGACAAAGGACTTTAGGAGGTGACAGATGAACCCAAAGGCATTTTGCATCTGAAGCAGGCCAGATGGGCTAACAGAGTCAGCAGTAGAACACAATTGTCAGTGGCTTCATACAGTGACCTCTAGATGAAACAAACTGTACAAAAGGAGCTCAGGGTATGCAAGTAGGTGAAGGACAATCCTCATCAGCAATAGGCTTGGCATCCATTTGGTTGTGTTTTCATATAGATAAGGTGGGGCAGACAGGCTCTACAAAGCAACATGTGCTCTTGCCTTATCCCATCTCTGTTATTCTCCTTGCTGTAGGCTGATGCTTTGGACCCAGATAAACCAAGTGGAATGGAGATCAGAGCCCTGGGCTTTTCCCTGCAGAGCAGCAACTGGTGCCATTTCTGGCTTATACTCTATTTTTCTCTTCCTAGTGAGGGACTTTTGTTATTTATCAGCTCCTTCTTTCAAAACAGCAACCTGGAAAATTTCACAGCACTTTTCAGATATGGTTACTCTGCCTGTGGCTCTCCACAGCTTAGCTGTTTCAGTGATATCTGCAGAGCAACGAGCAACAGCATTCCTGTCCTAAAGGAGAAGTGAGTGCCTCAAACCTCCTCACTTTTCTCCATATGCACAAGATCTTGTTTTGCTCCTAAAAAACCCCAGGCCTCTCTCTCCGTTCCTGCCAGTCACATGGCAGACTGGATGTCCCTAGCAGCACACCTGGGCTTGAATCGATCTTTCTTCTTTTTCTGTGTGTGTGTGTTGTCATCCAAAGCACGGCCAGAACCAAGGGCAAACTCCAGTTGGGAGGTGAGCAAGGAAAACCCCTCCAAAACAGCCAGGAGCTAAAATGATTTGGCAAGCTTTGCGGGAGAAAACTGCCAGCAGGGAAAGACGAGGTGGGAGCATTACTCCCGACAGAAGAAGCTCTGATTAGCAGATTATCACTTAAGTGATGTTGATCCCAGCCACGCTGCCTTCCAAATGAGCCCTTTCACAGCCGCCAGCTGCGCCACGGAGTCATGAATGTAAATGAATGGGCCAGATCCTCTGCTGGCATCCATCGAGGCAGCTTTGATGGACCGTCCTGGATCCACAACAGCTGGAGGAGTCTGGCTGTAGCAGGAGCCCGTCTTGCTTTTCAGATTTCATTTAGAGCCTGTGGGAAAGGGCCTGAAGCTGGGTGTACTGCAGGATAGAGCAGCATCAACTGCACATCTGGAGGGACCCTCGAGGCTGCGACTTTCGCTGCCAGATAAAGCCTTCTTTGTAAGTAATAATTGGTTCTGTCTTTTATTTTCATGATTTTTAGTTTCCATTTCAATTACCATCATTAATTAATTAATTGGCGTGTTTATTTATTCATTTTCATTTACTTTCTATTCCAGAGATCAGACTGGAGCAATCAGCCCCCACCTGATACCAGGCAGGGTGCAAAACAGGATGTCAGAAGCCAGAGCCTGCTTATCGATAGCCGTGAGAGATCCTTGCTGAGTCAGATAGGGGAAGGATGAGATAATTTCTGATGTTTTTTTTTCTTTTTTTCTTTAATCATATTTATTTATTTACTTGTTTGTTTATTTTGCAGTTGCTGAGCTTGTAACCTGTTCCCTGGTACCGTACGCCAGCACGTATCATCTTGCCCTCATAAAGCTTTGTTGATCTCCATCCAACTTGTTGGACTGAGCGTGTGGGAAGCATGTGAGGGACTCTCATGAGCAGCCTCACGTTCTCTGAGCTGCTTTTTCCCTTGGGGGTAAAGCTTTCCCCAAAGTGCTCAGTCCATTTCAGCTCAGAGGTGATGGCCTGAAACCTGCAGAGCTGGTGGTGAGATGGGAACAAGCTCTCTTTGTGAGGCTGCTCCAGCTTGCTGGGTGCACTGAATGAAATCTTTCATTTGGTTCCTCAGAGAGTACAGGAAGATCCTCAGCTTTTGTCCTGAATAGGATTGTAGCTCAGTCCAGGGAAAGACCACAATGTCAGAGGTAGATGTTGGTAATATGGCAGTAGAGGTTGAACCTTCCCACAAACATCCCATTAAATTTTGTTGCCGTGTGACAGACAACAGTAGAGAGGTATTGACAAAATAATGTCTGACATAGAAGTGCATATGAAGCAAAAGAATGTCATTGAATTCCCCCATGAGGAAAAAATGGCACTCACTGAAATTCATTGATGCTTGCTGAATGTTTATAGAGACCAAACAGTGGGTGTGAGCACAGTGAGACACTGATGACAGCAATGTGAAAGACAAGCCACATTCTAGACAACCATGCAGATTTTACAAGTTGGCGTGCAGTCTCTTGTTCATTGCTGGCAACAGTTCATAGATAATGGTAGTGGCTGAGTTGAAGAATAATGCTTTGTAGCTGAGAATTTGCTGTATCAAATACTTTTATTGGGCTCTTTGTATCTGTGAACACTTTTAGCAGCAAGTCAGCTATAAGGAACAACATATTCTCAGACAATCAAGCCTACAAATTTTGATGGGAAGCCTTGTTGTGAAGGAGATGCTTTTTTTCCTACTGTAGAAGGGATGTTCAATGTTATAGTGACAAGGAGTAGCTCTTCAGCCTTAGACAGCAGAAGGAAGCAACACCTGACACAATTATCTCCATGCTTTGTGGAAGCAGAGACAAGTATGATATTTCCTGCCTAAAAAAGCAGGAATTCATGTTTGCCTTCTGTTTTTCATAGAATCATAGAATAATTTGGGTTGGAAGAAACCCCGACCATCACATTCAACCCCAACCCAACCCCACCATGCCCACTGACCACGTCCCTCAGTGCCACATCTCTACTGTTCTTAAACACCTCCAGGGATGGTGACTGCACCATCTCCCTGGGCAGCCTGTGCCACTGCATTACCACTCTTTCTGAGAAGAAATTGTTCCTAATATCAAACTTGGTTTGGGTCAAAATCGCCCGTTGTAAATTTTATATGGAGCAGGTTATAATTTTTCCTTTGCAAAACTCAAGCTTTCTTATTACAATCAATCTTGAGAGAGTTATTTACTGAATTGTGTTGCTCAGAAAACTGATGCATGCTCTAAGGATATCTGTTGAGTGGGGGCATTTCACAGCCTGAGAAATGTCCCTTCAGATATCTTATTTATCAATGAGTAGCCAAGGAAGATGCCAAGAAGTGGAGGAGCCATGCTATCCAGGAAACCCATTCTTTTCAGGTTTCCACACTCTGCATTATCAGTTTTGATGAAGCTGTACTCTTCAGCTGGAAACTACCCATCAGATATCTGCCCAGCCTTCTGAGTTCGAGACACAGGTGGAGAAATGGTTAATTTTATATTCTCCTATTGTCTGCTATTTAGAAAAGAAAGAGTTGTGATGGATGAAAAACTTACTGGCCTCCTTCAGCACAAAGGAAAAAAAAAACTGTTACAAAATCACTGCAAGATCATTAATATTTTAATTAAAAAAAAAAAAAAAAAACTGATTTATTTTGTCTGGCTTTGTGCAAGTGCACGTCTGTCATCTGGGTACAAATTTCCAAAAGAGAAATTGCATGCTCCTTTCTGGTCTCTTCAGAACTACAAGTGGTTTGGAGAACATCTGTTGGACAGCTTTCTGGGTTGTTTCTTTCTGCTAGTAAGCAAGCAATGTATTTTATTTCCCTTTTGTGCCTTCTAGTTTTTCCTATCCTTTCAAGCCAGGGGGTAGTAAAAGTAAGTTGAGTTCTTCTAAATACCAAACAAAACTTCCAACAGCCTCTTATCCCCATCCACACTGACAAATTATTTCATTACATCTGTAGCTTTTCCATTTACGCCTGAGGAGTTCTTCTGACAGCATTCATGACTTTGCTAAGCAAGGACTGGTTAGTATCTCATGCACAAAAATAGGCAAATCACATTGCAACAGTAGGCAGAGGATGTATGGGCTTTCCAGCCATCTGTGTTATTAAGTCAAGCTTCTGAGTCAATGCCCATGAGAATTAGATGCCCTGTAAAGCCTGAGTGGAAATACTTGTATGTGTGTCTATGCATGTGCTCTTCTTCCTGTACACTGAACCTCTTAAGATCCTAAAATGAGTCACATTTCTTGGCAAATATCAAGGGATACCCTGCTCCCTGAAGCAAATGACAGTCTAGAGTGGACTATGTGTTCAAGCTGTTTTCTTTGTTTTTTAATACAAGGGTTTGAGTGTAGATGACTTAATTGGCTGTGTGGGGAGCTCAGGTCACTGATTCCAAATAAAACATCCTCACTATCCAGCAACACATTCTCCAAATTCGTACACTGACATTGATTTCTTCCATTTAATCATAGAATCAGAATCTTTAGAGTTAGAAGGGACCCTTCCAAAGGCCATCTGGTTGAATTCCCCTGCAATGAACAGGGACACCCACAGCTCCATCAGGTGCTCAGAGCCCTGTCCAGCCTGACCTTGGGTGTCTGCAGGGATGGAGCATCCACCACCTCTCTGGGCAATTCTTCCAGGGCCTGACTATCCTTACTATATAAGGATAGCTTATAAAAAAGCTTTTTCCTTACATCCAGTTTAAATCTCCCCTCTTTTATTTGAAACAATTTCCCCTTGTCCTATCACAACAGACCAACAGTCTGTTCCTTTGTTTCTTATATCCACCCATAGACACCTCAGAGTTGCTCTGAGCTCTCCCCATATCCTTCTCTTCCCCAGGCTGAACAGTCCTGCAGTGAGTTCTCTCAGCCTGTCCTTTGAGTAGAGTTGTTCCATCCTTTGGATCATCTTTGTGGCCCTTCTCTGGATGTGTTCCAACAGGTCCATGTTTCTCCTATACTGAGGACTCCACATCTGGACATAGTGCTCCAGATGAGGTCCACAGCACAGAGCAGAGAGGCAGATCCCCTCTCTCACCCTCCTGGCTGCACTGCTTTGAATGCAGCCCAGGATTCTACTGGCTTTCTGGGCTGTGAGGGCACACAGCCAGCTGCCATCCACCATTTAGAAAAGATGCTATGGCTTTTAATAAAGACATTTCAAATATGTTTTCATAAGTGTTCTTAAAGAACTCCAGTATTGTGTCTATAGTAATCTGTCAGCCTTAAAGGATCCAACAACATGTCACTACCAGTGATATAAGAAGCAATTAGTTATCAATTAGGAAAGTAAGATGTAACAGTTATTTTGTTGGCAGAAGAGCCATGATGAAAACGCTTTAAATGTACATGAAATGCATCTTTCTAATATTGCATTCAAAAATTTTTACTAATGTTTTATACCTTGCATCTGTGAGATGAGTTATCCCTTAAACATCCTTTCTTCAGACAGTACTGAGATTCATCCTCATGCTCCATTACATTGCTCTACACTTCCTGGAGACCATCTATAAAATGAATCAGGATAATGTATGGTTACACACCATAATTTTTAATACATTTTTTTTTTTTCTGCTGCATGAGGAAATTGTGGAGGCTGGCTTTTGCATATTTCAACGGTGTTACTCAGCTAAGCATAAGAATAAGGGATCAGAATGGAAGAGAAATGAAGGAAGGAAGGAAGGAAGGAAGGAAGGAAGGAAGGAAGGAAGGAA